TTTCCCTACCTGTCAGGTGTTAACGGTCCAGCTGACTGGCTTAACGACCGCCGCGAGAAGAACCGCGTTTTAGTTGCCGGCATCTCTTGCTATCGATTGTCGTCCAGTAGGCGGCTAATAGCCACCTAACGTTGAGAATAATAATGGGGGGCTAGACGCGTATCGGGTGTCAGAGCCGAAACAGATCCGAAAGCGCCTGGAGGCCTTTTCCTCGTAGCCTCTCTCGAGCGACAAAGCGGCACGTCAAAGCAAAGAGTCTCGTGGCTCTATCGTGTAATATCGTGATTTACGATGTGCTATAATTCTAATGTAATTTAATGTATCAATCATGCCGCGCGTACCAAGGCAAGCAAGTCTTTGTTTCTGATAGGAATCTTGCTCCTATTTCAAGTACTAATATTAAACTTAGCTCTTTGATAGCTTTCGAAAATGTTTTATTCGATCCACTTTAAAAACTTCTCGTTCAAGTTACAAAAGATATAATTCGTTAAATTATGAGAAACGCGCGTTAATAGTATTGTAAATATATGTTTTATAGAGTTTTATATTGTTTCCATTTATTAATAATTATGAGATTAGAGAGAAAAGTTGCGTATGTTATGCAATACTATTTCAAAATTAATATTAGTTAAAATAAAATAATATAACATCTTTGCGTGTCTTATTAAAAATGATATGGATAGTGAATAGTATTATTAAATATCAGAAAATTAAAATTTTTAGGTCTAACACTCCCTTATCTCACGCCGAGCAGTTAATAGCACGTCACGATGAGGATAATAAGGGCAGTCAGATATTTGATGTCGGTCAAAGAAGGCTGTATTTTTTTCTAATGCATTTGAAGGATATATGGGAAGATCCGCCTAAATTACTATGTGATATTTTAAATTGAAATCAACAACGTATATAATTTAGTCGTCGATTTTGTATGCAAAATTATGTGTTTCTAAAACTTAATTATGAGAAATATTAGCTCTAAACTTGCGATTCATCATCATTCAATCAGTGAAGTTTTAAATCATAATATAAATGAAAGGAAAGAAAATAATGAAGTTGGACTTTGTAGTTTGTATACCATAATTGCGCGCGCCGCACAATCGTGCGTAAAGTCACTAGATGACAAAGTACCGCAATTTTGATCGCAATCTTAAGATTGGAGCAAAAATGGCGTCGGATAGTGTAGATAGTGCATACTATATAGCATACATAAAGTGTGCATTTTAAGTTAATCGTCAACAAAAACGTTACAAATGCTCGATTCATACAAATTGATAATCATCTTAAATTAAATGTCAAACAAAATAAATATCAAACAAAATATTATGTTAATGCTTTCTATGGTTTGTGATACGAAATTTTAATTATAATATTTTCTTCTTTTAATTAACTTGATATTTTTTGATATTTGGAAGTTTTGGGTACATTGTTAATTTTGACAAAGAGGAATATATGTAACTGGTCAAATGTTAATTTGTTGAAAAAAATAATTTGAACTTATTATACACCAGATTATTTTATTACAATTTAAAATATGGCAAATTATTTTCAATATTTTGCATTCATATGATATATATGCTTTCTTGTTTATATAAATATATTTTTATCATATTTCTAGTATCAAAGTATTTTACGTATAAAAGAGGAATTATATAAGAGAATTATATAGGATATATATTGATAAAATATAAAATATCTTATCATCCTAATACATTTAACTTATATAAGCATTTAATTAAAAGATTTTTTATTTTTGATGTTATATTATATATATTTTTTCCTCCATATTTAAATTGGTATACCTTTTATCATTGATTATTATTTTATTAGAATTAATATATCTAAAACCAACATTTTTCATTGTATTGTCAGATTCCGATAATTTAGAGATTTCTTTTGTCGACAGAAGAGTATTACCCATTTGTGATAGAAAGGAATTCTGTTTCAGTTTTCAGAAGAGATGCATAATGTTCTCTGAAGGTAAGAAACGTATCTAACAAACATTGATAAAAAATTTCCGAATTTACATTTTTTTAATATTTTTTAATAGCTCTATAAGAGAGAGAGAGAGAGAGAGAGAGAGAGAGAGAGAGATGTAAGAGCTAAATATAATAATTAAAAAGATGGTATAGATAATAATTAAAAATAAAAATTCCAAATATTGCACTTTTAAAAAGTTTAACTTCATTATTTTCTTTCCTTTTATCTATATTATAATTTAAAACTTTACAAAAATTAATTGTCACTAGAACTTAATTATACCTACAACTCAGTCTTGATTTTTATAAATAATCGCTATACAACTAATAAACATAACGTATGTAAAATAATTATTTTCTTAAAAAAGAGTAAAAGCAAAATAAATTTGTGACTTTAGCTTTGGCTTGTATTAAAATATTATTTTGCCTTTTAACGATGTCTTGATACATGTCGATTTCACTGCATCTTGATTAAGTTTACAAGGCAATTTTTTTATATTTTTTATAAATAAAATATCTATTATTATAGACAGAGAGAAAGACTGAAAAGATGAGAGAGATATTTATTGATCTAATTTGGTCAATATTAACAGTTGAATAATTAAATTCCTAAAGATCACTTCGTGACACAAGAATCATTTTGATCAAATTCTGATTAATTCAACCAGCGGTTAACTTATCAAATAATATCTGCATTTTATTAATATTATTTTGTTAATATGCATAAAATTCTTGATTTTATGTTTAGTTTGAAAAGAAAGCTTACAATTAGATTAAAAACGACGATGTACAGAGTTAAATTTAATTTTGTTGTAGGCAATTCTAATTGAATCAATGATCGATTAAATTAATCAAAGTTTGATCGAAATAATCGTAGATAGATTTTGCAATATTTTAGTGGACAATATATAATAATGAGAATTCAATTATTTTGGTTACAATAAATTATTTGTTGGTCCCATAAATCTCGACTCAAATCTTTGTTCCAAATTAGTATTATTTAACGTGGGAAAAAAATTTATATATTTTTATATAAAATAATATAATACCTAAATACATACATCTTTGCTTAAAATTGTATATGAATAATGGATAATTGCTTAGAGAGGTAAAATTTTGTTATTTTGTTTAATTTAATAAAAATAAATATTTGAACGTACATATTTGTAATTTTCTATTTTTAAGCATTGCAATTATCTATTTCTTGTGTTTTTATCTGTGTCTGAGTGTAATTGTCTGACGATAATATTGTAGTCATTTTAACAATTAATAATCTATGATACTTCTCATTTAGAGGTCAGATGTTTAACTTTTTCGCGAAGGTATTATGCCTTCTTGATTTATTAATTCTATTACTATTATTGTCCCTGTTGCAGCATGATTACAGCAAATATTTAACGCACATTCAGATATATGTATACATATATATGCTACAGTATATATATAATTGCTTCAAAATCATATATTCCATCCTTTGAAAGATGTTATGATTAACGCTTTTGTCGTCATTAATACTATTTTAACGATGTAATGATTATAGAATATTCGCAAATGAAATAAAGATTTAAACTAAATTCTAAAGAGAAGTCAAAAGAGCAAAAACACAGATGTGAAAGAGATAAAAATGATATGTTACATACATACCAATTTTTTTACAATACATTTATAATTTAAATTTATAACATATATACAACATGATTATTTTAGTCTACATACAATTTCAATGTGCACGAAGATTATAAGCGCGGAAGATTATCAAAAAGATTTTTTTTAAATTTTTCTTGGAAGAATATAAATATTTCGGTGGGAAATCTAGATTGGACCACAAAATTTTTTCGTCCATAGAATTTTATATGATTGATCATGTTTATCATTCTTGACACATAAATCCTATCAATCAATTAATCAGAAAACTTTGTACACTCAGAAATAGAATTTTAATGTCAAATAATAAATAAAGATCGCGCTTATATATGAGAGACGATTTGAGAGAGGAATTTACGTGTCTGTAAAATTAAATGCAGATACAAAAATTGCGTTAACATCGACGCACACTTTTGCAATGCCAAACGTGCGACTTTCACTGCCAATGTACTTACAAGGATATTTTCTAAGGAGTTTGCGTAGTAACATCGACGGTGCACGAGCGAAAGTGGCACAAGGCGACACATAATACTGCATTACATCTATTATATTGCTAACATGCATCCCAGCGGCCTGCAGCGACTGATTTCTGACACAGAGCGATTGTTTTAAGACGCATTTCTTTATACGGAACGAAATGACTGTTGTAATCGACAAGTCAGCAAAATAAATTTTAATATATATATGCATTATTTTAAAAAATTTTCAACGCTTTTTAAATTCGTATTATACATTGCCAACAATTTTTTGTACCCAGTTATATATATAATAAATATTACTGTAACGTATAATATATTAACATTTGAACATATATATAGTAACATGTGTGATTCTGCCCGAAGAAAGAAGGTTTATAGCAACCCATTTTATCTGAAAAAGCGCAGTACTTAAATCAATCAAAGTCTGAAAATTCAATTTTTAATCCATAGCTCTCTTTCCTTCTTCGGGCAGAATCGTATTCCCATAAATAACAGTATAACAAGTATCACGCATTTAACTTATAGGTGACATTTTCGTATTATATTTACGTTGAGCGTTTACGGGATTGCAGCTTTAACGGAGTATAATTCGATAATTAGGCATTTGCAATATATAAAATATTTGTGTTCATCGATTAATAAAATATACAGAAAGCAGACGTCTATAAAAAAATCTCTGATAAAATAGACAAAGGGAATGAATATAAATGAGATTTTTAAGAAAAAATGTCTCTTATATTGTGCGAACCTAAATCTTCCCACATTTTGCAAATTTTTAATTCGACACATATAGTAATACTCCATTAAAGTAATGACAATTATTGAATTAAGTATCTCTACCAAAATAAAATTTGCAGTTGACCTCGCATAAAAACTTCAACATTTTTGAATCATTATTTAATCGCATTCGGAATTTCAAAATTATTGCAAGGATCATAATATTTAGTCGCTTAATTATTTGGGTCTAATGTCACTCACTGCTTTAATCTATTTGGTCCTTGAGAGTCGCTGGGCATAAGGAAAAATCAGGAGCTAAGATTGGTTGCAGGTGGCAGGCGCCAGCGATCTGCAACCGCGAGCTATCTGGGCGCGCCATCACTTCGAAAGCGATTGCTCTTCTAGAACCTCGTTGGTTCTTAGCTTGATTTCCTTCCAGGAATACTGTATGTCCTTGCTCTCGCTAAATCGAGAGCAGACGGCAAATCGTAGGAAGTACGTGTCTTTTATCTTTGACGGAACGAGATGGATATTTCCCGCGCCGTTGATTCGCTTTAGGAGAATTTCATTGAGTTCGTTGGATCCCTGTAAATCATGGCAGAATTATTTTTGCTATTTCTTTCTCTCTCTACTCGCGATTTACCAAAAGCGTTGTATAATTTGTTGTAATATTGTTGAAGTTATTCGGCTTTTCTAAAAATATTTGACATAGTAATCGATTTACCTTCAATCGAAAGCAAACCAGTCCCATGAGAACTTCACCCACGATCTCGAAACGAGGATCGGAGAGTACTAAAGCCTCGAATTCGTGTGCTTGAGCGATGTGCGATCTGATGTACTTCTGAAGGTACTCGACTCCGTACAACCTTAACACGAACCAAAGTTTCAGAGCCCGGAATCTGCGTCCGAGTGGAATTTGCCAATGCTGTAACAAAATATACGCCGACTGATTAACGATAGTACTTTGCACAATCGTTTCCTAAAGTAATTTTGCTAATTAGACACGTATCAGCTCAAGGATATCAGCAAAGTTCTACGTTAACATGTTGAAATCAATTTAAGCAACTTTCAACAGACGTTACCCTGTAATCCGGTGCCGAACCCTGCATATCGTGCTTCAGGTACAAGGGATCGACATTGAAGGCGTTTATGACGTATGTCGGATCCTTGAGCCACATGGCGGAACAGTCGAAATTCACTAGCATCCACTTGTGCGGATTAAAATTAAATGAATCCGCCAGCTCGATACCTTTCATTAAATATCGGAATTCGGGACAAATAAAAGCGGATCCTGTAATCAAATGGATTTAAATAATCTATCGTCATTTTGTGCGCCAGTAGCATAAAAAGATTAATTCATACCCGCATAAGCTGCGTCTACATGCAACCAAACGCCTTCACGATTCGCTACAATACCCATTTCGTCAAGGCGATCGAAGGCGCAATTAATGGTTGTGCCTAAAGTAGCGACGGCCTATGATAATGAGAAGCACACAACTCTTATAATCTCAAATATTAATATATTCTAATTTATTATAATTATAATTCTGGATATCAAAATTTGTGTGCATCAACATTTTTTTGCAATTTTTTATAATATTATATCATCGACTCTCTCTGTTCTCGAAGAAAGATAGAAATACTAGAAAACAAGTAGAGTTGTGCAAATTAGAAACTTGCACATTGCTTCCTCATCATTTTATCTTACAAAGTTTCAGATGCTTTAAGCATGCGGATTTTTCAATTTTTGATTGCTCATAGAGGAAGCTTTGTGAGATATCTCAAATTTTCCGAAAATTACAGCGTGTAGACATTTCTCAAAAAATTCAAAATTTTATAAAAAATAAATCCTTTTCTAAACACATTGGCATAGAAAACTCGAATAAAAAAATTTTCACGAAAACAAAGCTTCCTCTATGAGGAACTAATAACATATCTTTTTAAATTTTTATTAAAGGCACCAATTGTGTGTGTGTCCATAAGTATTAATAATTATAAAGAAAATTCTCTCTGTATATATAATACATAATTTGCTGTTACAATCAGATGCATTACATTGTTTTAATTGTAATTGTATTAATTTCTTATCTAAAATTTCAGTTGAAAATATTTCATAACCCTTTCACCGATACTCATCAGATTCAGTACCAACCATCCTTTAGTAATACTCTATTCATGTAAAAAAATTTAACCTGATATCTCAAAATTTGCGAAAGTTACAATGTATACAAACATTCCTCAAAAAATTAAAAATTTTATAAAAATGAACCTTTTCATCGATTCTCACCAAATTCAATACCAACCATTTTTGAATGATACTCTATCCATGTAAAAAAAAATTTAACCCGATCTCAAAAATTGCGGAAGTTAGAAGTTGTACAATATATTGCGTACGTACATACATACATACATACATACATACATACATACATACATACATACATACATACATACATACATACATACATACATACACACATACACACATACACACATACAAACATACATACATACATACATACATACAAACATACATACATACATACATACATACAAACATACATACATACATACATACATACAAACATACATACATACATACATACATACAAACATACATACATACATACATACATACAAACATACATACATACATACATACATACAAACATACATACATACATACATACATACAAACATACATACATACATACATACATACAAACATACATACATACATACATACATACAAACATACATAGGCATAGAAAACTCGAAAAAAATTTTGTCACGAAAACAAAGCTTCCTCTATGAGGAAGCAAAATTGATCGAGTTGAATCTTAATTAAGCTAGACTTACGTAAAACGGTATAAATCCTTGCTCCTTATCCTTTCGGATTGCTTCGGCCATCGTGTCGCCCCGCAGCTTATATTTCTCATCGACTTCCAATTGTCTGAACTTTACTCCACCGAGGAGTCCAGCGCGTTCAACCGAACTATGCGCTTGACCTAAAAAAAGTATAATATCTCATCACGATTAATCCGATTAAATAATAATAATTAATTGGCAGTCGAAAAATCTACAAAATTATTTTGGATACAGCCTCACTTTTTGCTTTCTTTCGCTATTATATCAAATTGTTTACGTGACCGTAGCATTAATGAGCAATTAATACGTTTACTATTTATGTTTAATATCAATATATTTAACATTTATCGAAAATTATAATAACTCTTTGCATTTATTACTGAGATTTGTGTTATATAAATAAATAGATGGATTCTATTAATTATCACGAATTATAAAGTATGACAGTTTCGGGCATTGTTATTTCTTCAAGTTATTTTTTTCATATTTTTTAACGAACTATATATGTAATGTTTCGTAAAATATTATGAGTACGCTTTTATCAATATCTCTTATTGATAGCGAAAATTGTCGACATCTTTTTCAATCATTATTATAGCACAAAAGAAAATAAAAAATATTTTATTCTTTCTTTGGACAATAGCGACTCATTAAGCATATAGTTTCGTTCGATATTTTTAATCGAAAAAATAACTCGTCCATTATATATATTCGTCGAAAAAGGATTACGTTTTTTTTCTTTTATTTTGATAGAGTGCCGCGAGATTATTGTGGGAATTATGAGAATAGTAGAGAAAATTCGGTCTGTGAAATATAACTGGAGCGGTTATTACGAGTTGCCATGACGACAAAGTGCTGTTTGATGAAGTGCTGTGAACCCCCTACATTCACCCTATCACTCCATCCCTCTTATTCTCCCTACTCACGTGCCTTTGAACTGATTGCGCCCGGTCACTGAAAACGACCGGACACTTTACAGCATATTGACGCACGTCGATGTAATGCAATAAACACGAATGAAAAATTGCTTGAAAATTATATAACAATAATATATTGTGATAACTTTGACGACAGCGCGTTAAAAAAATATAATCTTCTGATCAGAAGAATCTGTTAATCGAATAAATAAATTAGTTTTATATTATTTTTATCAGATTCTGACAAAGTGATAAATTTAGAAATTTTAGATTTATGCTGTTCTATAAAATTATCCATTTTGTTACAAAATTCTTCTCATTCGATGTAAAAACACACACGTAATTTAATAAACACATATTATATATAAAGAATTGTTTTAAAACATTTTAATAAATTTGCGAGTAACGTGTGATATGTTAAAAATTAATTTAAACGATACTCGTAATGATATTTTTATATTTTATAAAGCACATTCTTCTATCTTTATTCGTGCCTCGATTGCTATTGTAAGTGTGACTCGCACAGCTTATTTAATACTTATTGAAATATATGTCACAGTTCAAGTGTCTATTAAAGCCATTGAATTTTATGCCTAATTGTAGACGTACTTATGCCGTTGTTCGTTCGATAAAGATAAATAAGAATAGTTGACTGAGAAATAATTTATATGATCCGAGATTATATGTCAATATTTTATATATAAAATTATTTCTAAGATTAAAAAAGATTGTTTGAAGGAATTATTCTACCGCGAGTTATTTCGGGCAAATCTTATCAGTTCATAATAAATTTTCGCATGTCAATGACAAATACTATTATAAAATGATTAAAGATGTACTCACAGGAACAATATGCGACTAGCTTGCTGATGATCTCGTTTTCCGTCCAATCCGGATGCTGCTCTTTAACTTGCTTTATCTTCTTGGCCTTCGCTCCTAATAACGCTACCAAAGTAGCTTCGCTAGCAGTTCCCTGTAGATGAAAATTGCAATTTAAACACGATTTTAATGGCATCTTTGACACTGTTATCTAGTATCTACAAATAGCTTTTGTAAGTCCAATGGCGCTTTAAAATATTGTTTACCTGAATAACGCCACCCCCTTTTCCACCGCTGCAAGCAAGAAACTCTTTCGGCAGATCTAACATTTTTCCTAACCAGTCCAGCATAATTACTTCTAATTCGGTACAAGCTGGACTCGCAATCTAAAATTAAGAAAAATTAAGCGTCAAAATTAATTTAAAAGACGATGCTAATTTTAGTCTTATTGATTTATTTTCGTTTTTTTCTCACCAGAATTTATTAAAATATATTTTATTAAAAGAAAGAGAGATATATTTTACTATGTTTGATATAATTTAGATTTTTATCTGCGATCGATTTTTTGTTACTATTAAAACTATAAAGATAGAAGTATAAGAAAATAAGGATTTTGTCATCAACAATAATTGCAACATTTAATATTTATGTCGCAAAACAGAAATATGCAAAAGATATGAGAAGAACAAAGTTTCTAATTTTCTAATTTTTTTATACTTACCCATGTGAATCCAATACAAGCAATAGCTCCGCTCAACATATCGGCCAGAATAGCTGGATATGATTGTGCAGTAGGGAAGTAGGCATGGAATTTTGGACTATGCCAGTGAGTAACCTGTAAACAATTTTATCTTAATTCATTTGTTGCCTGCTATAAGAATAATTGAAAATACTGACGATAAAACTGACGTTGAATTTTTTATTTTACAGTTATTATTGATATTGTTTCGTGGTACATTAATTATTATTCAAATAAATTATTTCTGATTATTTACAACATTTAAAATTGCTTACGCCTGGCATTATCACTCGTTCGATATCAGCCATTATATCTTTCCATTCTTCAGGAGATTTTGGTGCTTCGGAGGGCAAAAGAGGTCTCATATATCCCGGCTCTACCGTAGGCAAAACTCTCCTAAAAAAATTATAAATAGTAATAAATATAAGTTAGTATTACTATTATTTGCCTGTATTATTATTTAATACAGGTTCATCTCACATCAAGCAATTTTATGCAATTGTGTTACTATTTACCTATCTCTAATATTTTCTAATTTTTATTATTTACTTTTATTTACTTTAATTTACTTTTATTATTTACTATTATTTATTTTATTATTTTATTATTTACCTATCTCTAATATTTTCTAAATAATCCGTAATATATTCCGCCATGTCTTTGGCGTAATCCTTGAAACTATCAGGATCCATGATTCACTTCCTGTCGTCTGTAATATCTATTGAAACAAAAACGATTATTAATGGTATACAACGATGTCAAAAATCCATTCGATTACGTTTTAATGATGTAATGAAATAGGTGCGGTTCCGATATCCTTGGCATATTAATATGCACCTGATATGCATTTTGAATAAATCTAATACGCGTAGAATTCTTGTTTATCTTTCAAGGATAAGTGTTTATCTGTATATGAATGCAGAATGATAGCGATTAAATTTCCGCATATTACGTGTCGAAGACTGATACAGATGACGATAAGCATCTTGTTGACAACGTAATATTGTGCAGAGTGATAATTTATAGAAAACATGTGAAATATAGGTGAGGCGCGCTGTTTTGTCAGATTCAAGGAGACGTATGCTAAAATAAAAACGATAGTTGCTGATAAAAAGTGAAAGTGATACTTGTGCCAGTTTCCTGTGACTAGGATTAATTAAATTCTCGGAAATTACATTGAAATAGCGCATTATTTTTGCATATGTTTTCGATTGCATATGTTAGCTCAATATCGCTGATTTCAACAAGTGGAATGAATAAAATTATCTTATCTTATGTATGTCAAATATACGAGATGAAAGAGACGAGTTATTATTGATCGTAATATTTTTTAATCTTTACATTTTTTGTTAACAATAATTTGTAAAAATTATTAAAATTATTAGAATTAGGATCCATGTCTTCTTTTATTACTTTATACATATATTATATATGTTTGTTCTTTAAAATATATATTTAACAAGGAAACTTTATCAATAAGATTTACATTACACAACTTAAAGCGAGTGACGTCTTTATTCGCGTCACGTCCCGCTTTCTATTATTTTTGTAAAAAAGTAAATGACGACAGAAGTAAAATATATACATAAATACGTTTGGCCTTTCGAGCGAAATGTTTAACAAGCTAATCAATAATTAACTACGTAGAGCCTCCAATGACGTAGGTCTTGAGAAACTCAACAGCAAGTGAGAGAGATGCATGCGTATCGTTGCCGGATAGAATGTCTCGACGAGATCGAAAGTGGAAGGAGAAGGACATCGAGATCGAAAGAGGGTTCGCGACGATCAGTAAGATCGCCTTCGTAGAGAAGTAAGAGTGAACTCGCCGTAATGGCCATGACTCATTTTCATGGAGCAAGTTTCGTTCGAATTGTCGCTTGTCTATCGAAACGTGATTTTTGTCTGCTACGGTTTTTTGTACTCGCGGGATTTTGCGACGCGAATTTTAAAGATACGGTCGGACGGGTAAAAATTGAATTTTGACAATAAACTCTTTCGCAATCTTATTATGTGACAAATAAAAGATATTTCCGTGTAGATTTTCGCTTTTGTGTTACACATATATAATGATATCGTTGTTCTCGTTTCAAGATATTGAGTCATTCCTTAAAGGAGTAAAGACCTTAGCACAGTCGATGTAGAAAGTAATGGTCACAATGTTTTGCTATCTTTTCATTATCGCTATTGAACTGTTTTGCATAAAAATGTCATTACTACGAAAGAGCTACTTGCATTGTGAAAATCTATAAATAATTAAAAATTTTGCATTCTTTATTACATATCCATATATGTATAAGATTAAAATACTGTGGTTTCGTTATAAAATTCCAGTTTATCCAAAAAATTAATTTTAATCATATTAATTAAAAGCTTACTCCTACCAATAATATTAACATCAATAAAAACTGACGAAAAAAACGGATAATACTGTTTTTTATATATATTTCGGAAATATTTGATAATCGCGGAAATGCTAATCAGGATCCTTTCAAATATAAAATTAACCACTTCCGAATAGGAAAGAGAAAGAGAGAGAGAGAGAGAGAGAGAGAAAGAGAGTGCCTTGGCACATCAGGAAATGAGGGTGTACAGTAACGAATGGCTCCTGATGCGATAGAGGAAATTCCCGCGGCGCTTGGGGAATCCCCTCTTGATACTCTGACAGCAAACATTTCTCAAAAGAAAAATATAAATACGCTTTCCGCATGAATATGTTAAGATTAGGAGTTGCATCGAACTACTTTTGATCGGGAATGTTAATTATAGAACCATATCGTGATTTATATGTTCGTGAGTCTCGATGATGACAGAATGTATTATTCTTATGAGATGATATATATTGTACATGTATCAGACAATTATTTGCGTACACATATTTGTATATATGTATCATATATACATATAATTATATCTATAATTTTTTTCATTGAGAAAAAATGTTGTGTTGATTTTTACTTGCATTTCACGCGTGTCATATATATTGAATGTAATACATTTAGATGATGAAAAATTATAGTATTGAATTATAGTGAAATGTGTTGCTGTGTATTTCGTGAAATATCTACCTGATCGATCATAACCGTTCCTTTTTAGATTCCATTAAAGAATTTAAGTAAAATGTCAAACTCCATATCAAGATTTCTCTTAACATTCATTTTTTACGAAATAATTTGCATCGCTCAATTTTGCCACACGAAATATATTTCTCTTATATTTTTATTATGATATTTGTTATAATATACATAATTCTTTCAAATAGTTTCTTGACATTCTATACTATTTATATTTTGCAAATCATATTTTTATGCAAATAATGAAAAACTTATTCCGTATAGATTATTTGGTAAAATTGCAAGAAAAGACTTTGTTTAAAATATTTTAAACCAGCTTGACATGAGTATTTATCAATTCTTCTCTAAGAACATAATTTAAATTAAATATCGAATTAATTATCATACTTATTGTTCACGGAATATTATGTCGTAATAAGGAAAGTCTTCGATGAGATGTAAGATGACATTTAGTAAAGTGCATGCCTAAATACTTTCCGATAAGGAAAAAAATAGCGCGCGTCTCTAACTTAATAGTGTATCTTTCGGATTTTCCCAGATATCAATCAAAGTCGATAAAGTTTTTTTCGCGTCTCGCCAATACGTATGTGTATGAGAGAGCGAATGAAAGCAACCAGAACACTCTCACACTGTATTTATGTGGATGTCAAATATAGCGGGCGTCGAAAGCGTTACTCTTATTCATATAAATATCCAGACAACTATTTATAACGGTGTGAAAATAGCTCAAGTATTAGATAATCTCAAAATAATGTTTAATCCTTCTTCATACAAAGTTTAATCGTCGTTCTCTCGAGAGTGTAACAGATTAATTCAGCAAGCTGATGCTATTACAGTGCGCTCTTCAATCTATTATATCGGAGCGGAAGGTTTAACTAAGCGAAAGCTCAATAATTAGTTTTAGATACTGCACAGAGAGAGAGAGAAAGAGAGAGAGAGAGAGAAACTAGGACTATTATAGTTCACATAAATTAATATAGAAAGCTTCCAAAATTCTAAACATTTTGCTTTTCGAGATGTAACTGAGCTTATTAAAGGTTTAAATGTATCCTACATTTGACATAAATTTATCGTTACGAGATTTTGAGTTGAAAGCAACGATATCGTCGAGAAGGAATATAAAAAATAGCGATAACAATATTTAATTTGCATTGATCTTATATTTAATCGCATATAAAAGTAATTTGAAATAAATTTTGAAAGTTACGTGTCTTTTATTTTTGCGCGATTATTTATTGAGCATCTTCGATAAATGAAAATTTTTTTCAATTAATAAAAAAATTTTTTTGTTACAACTGAAAATAAAAAATATGTACTTCTTCGAAAAATGTAAAGAGAGAATTAGAATAGATTAATATTAGTTGCCAAACTTACTGAGAATTCGCTCGCTATTATACTTATTAATTAATAATTAATTAAACGAAAAATTAAGACGCAATTATAATTATGGCGTTGCAAGGTAAAATCAAAACTCGACTCACGTATCGAGCGAGCCTCGGACGATTCACAGGACTGTCCCTCTTGACAATGTCGAGTACGATATCCCCACGTGTCTGCGGATGACAGGACGGTGATCCCGCGTGATGATCAACTGGTATTCCGCGGCGGATTGCCGCTCCGTTCGCGTCTCGCCGTGCTTTATGTAACACCCCACTCTTCGCCGTTCGCGCCGATCGTGTCGCACGTCGATATTCGTCTACCTTGTCCCGAGTTGCGAGTCCACCGAGGTCCGAGATCGATAGCGGGATACGCGATCGATAACGGCCGGTCTCACTCGACTAACGGCGTAGGCCGCGTCAATTTTTTTTTTTCCACGTTGATCGTGACAAAAAGTGCGATTCGATTTGATTTATTCATTCGTGTAAAATCGTCCGTTTATATGTTACTTGACGTTGTGATGGTGAAAGATTAATGTCGAATAGATTAAATTAGAATTAAATGGAATAATGAAATTATTTGATTCGATGAAAGTGTTATCTTCGAGATTTAAATTGAAACTTTTCGGAGTATTTTGGTAATTTTACACGAGAAATATGTGCTGTTTAATGTTTCAAAAGAAGTATGTCAAACTGATGAAATCATTAAGAAATGCCTCCCGGCTTTAGTAATACTACTAGTAATAAGATAACGTCGAGGAATTTAAACTTGGTACACACTATATGTTTTGTTTGATGTATATCTACTCAATACTAATTTAAGTAAACTGTTGCTGAAATATATTATATATATAATGAAATCGTGGATTACGTAAAGAAAACGATATCGCGAGGTCAAAGGGGCATAATGACATCTCGAAGGTGGAATTAGGACGTTGGGAGCGATTGCTCATCTGCGATTTGATTACAGATGCGAAATCAAGGAAGCATTCAGGTGGTAAATCGAATTAACTCCGGATAAACTCAATCTTAGTTTCCGATCGTACATGTCCTTCCGTCAGAAGAAATACTTGACGTTCGCCAGCACTGTCCTAACACAAGATCTTAGGCAATCGTGATCTAGAAAGGAATCTTAGCGAAAACAATCGTCCTTTCACAATAGCACAGTAAACGAAGGTTACTTCACAGAAGCCGAACGTAAAAATGTTCTCGACTTTATTGTTACTGAATTCATTCGTTTTCTCTTCGTTATCTCTTTTATAGTTAAACAAATTATCTCTGGCGAAGAAAAGATGCATCTTAGATTTTATTTCCTCCGTATAATTAGAGGAAGAAGTTGACAAAATTATCAATTTCACATACGTGAAAAGACATAGTGCTTATTTAAATAATTAATAAGCTATATATTGAGACATCAGCGGATGTCTATACATATATTATTATATTAATTGTATGAGTCATTTGTTGATAAATAAGACCTTGCACATAATAGAGAAGATATTAGGAATAGGAATAAATGTGTTAAATATTAGGAAGACTAATTTGGAATTATTTTACTTCAAACAAGGGAAAAGGTATGGATTAACGCACAATGAATTAAAAATTAGGAATAATTAATCCATTCCGTTTTAATTTTCTTTCTAATATTTATTTCTAATATTTTTTCTATTGTGCGTTAGGCCTAATTACAGATCGCTCGAGTCGGAAATAATTATCTGCGTCAGGTGCATTTACGTCTTATCTTGATTACATATTAATGACTTCGCCATTAATATTACAGTTGAATTCCATAAATATGTCATAATGTAATAATTGTACTATTGAATATATTAGAACTTTATTGATAAAAATATTATTTATAATAAA